TGTTCAGTTTTACAAATTCTCATTCTTCTGAAATTATCTTTATTCAGGGCTTTGATGGTTCATAAGGAATATTGCTGTCAGAGTAGCTTTTTGCTCCAGAATTTTCTTTCAARCTGCTGAGAACTATTCWATAAAYAAAGCAACATAGCCCTTATAATTAATGTACTTCATTCCTAGCATAAGTTAATTGAATTTATAATTCATTAAACATTTATTAAATGATTATATAGCAAAATCACATATCCATATTAAAATTCATTTATAAAAATATAACATTAAATTTTATTTGAACTATTGCATTGACCAACTGTTGAATAAAATTATAGAATAATATTAATATCAATTATATTTTCTTAATAATGCTAAAACTTTCCAGTGTGGTGGTGCACACCTGTAATCCCAGCAGCTCAGGAGGCTGAGGCAGGAGGATCCCAAGTTCAAAGCCAGCCTCAACTACTTAGCAAGGCCCTGAGCAACTTAGGGAGAATCTGTCTCAAAATAAAAAATAAAAAGGGCTGGGGATGTGGCTCAGTGGTTGAGTGCCCTTTGGATTCAATCTCTGGTGCCAAATAAATAAAGACATGAAAACGAGTCTTTTTCCAAAGTACTAGGTCTGTACCCAATCAAGCATACATATGCAGGTATTACTTTGGGGAATTTTCATTGTCCTTTGACATAATTTTTCAATTTTGAGACAATAGCTCACTGTCTTAACCACTGTAGGCTTATTAATTAGTTTCATGAGACATCCCCAAGTTTTTTACTTGTTTTTACAAATTGCCTCGACAACCCTTAGCCCTTTGCATTTTACCATAACTACTTGAATTAATCCTTCAGTTTCTACAGAAACCTTTTGTGCTTTTTATTAATGTCGCAATTCATCTATGTATCCATGATGGGAGAATTCACATCCTGTTTAAAAATACTGCCCAGCATGGTCGTTCATGCCGATAATCCAAGTGGTTTGGGAGGCAGAGGCGGGAGGATCACAAGTTGGAGGCTAGTCTTGGCAACTTAAGGAGGCCCTACGCAACTTAGCGTGACCCTGTCTCGAAATAAAAATGACAAAACAAAACAAAGCAGGCTAATGTTTTGGTTGAGTGTTTAAGTACTCCTGGGTTCAGTCCCTAGTATCAAATAGATAGGTATACAACTGAGGGCTGGGACATAGCTCAGTTGGTAGAGTGTTTTCCTAGCATGCAAAGGGTCCTGGCTTCAAACTCCAGAACCACAAAAGAAAAAGAATTAAATAATAAAAATACGGAAYCTTACAACCTGTAAGCACGGTGGTATATTCCTTTATTCAGATTTTAAATTTTCCTGTCAATCCCGTCTCCTGATCTATTATTGTAAAGAGACAATAAGACCTTTTATTGTGGTAATTCCAAGATGTGTTCATTCTGATCCCCTTATAGACGACATGTGTTCTCTGAGCTTCGTTTTGTCATGTTTGCTTTTSGTATTTTATAACTGCATTTTTTTATTCATATTCTGACTCTGAATCCAGAAATACTGTTACGCTGATATTCTCCWTATTTATTTCTAACCTTGGATTATTCCAACTATCATTTTTCTCAAATCTGTAAATCAATCATTTAAAACATCCAGGCCAGGAATTCTGTGTGTATTCATCAGCCAACATCGGGGTGCACAGTGGTGTCGAATTTGACATTTCAACGCATGCTATAACCGTCGTGCAATAACAGACCACATCCAAAAGCAAGGAGGTGACATGGGTTTTAAAACCGATGTCCTTGTGACTTGTGTTTAGCAGCTTGGACAGGGTAGTTGGGTTGTAAGCAGGAGTGCTCTGTGATCCCCCAACACTGAATTTGGGGGATCGCGTATCATCTTTAACCAAATACTTGTCTCGGCTGATGTCGTTGTGGTTTTGGGCTCCTGTGGGCATCAGCTCATTTTTGCTGAGTGATCACAGAACAGGCACTTGGTGTCGGCCTTCCGGCTCCGGACTTGGTGTTTTTACAGCATAAATAGGAAAAATGAGCTCAGAGAGAAAGGGGACTTCATGCTACCATTTTAAGCAGAAGTGCCTAGCAGGGGTCYCCAAATGGTTATGGGTTGTATATAGTGCCCTTCCAAACGTATGTCCCCTCTCGCTGCAGCTGTGACCTTTGGCTCCCAGGACGGCTGTTGTCCTCGGGTACCCCAACATGCACTCTGGCTCTCAGAGCTGCAATGTCGAGCAACCCAGGGCGCCTGGTCATGAGCCTTTCACGCACGTAGGYGTTTGCAACCAACGGAAAATTCTAGTTCCCTTCACTGACGCTGTGCACGGCGAGTTAGACGTCTTTGAACGCGTCTCATGTTTGAGGCATATTGGAAGTAAACTCCCAAATTTAAAAATACTGTTTCAAGGAACCTGATGCTATTGGTTCGTGGAAGGAAGGGATGGAGTCCAGAAGTAGATTCATTGGGCACTCAGGATAGAATTTTCATGTACAGTTGTACCCTGGTGTCTGCAGGAGATCGGTTCCAAATTCCCTGTGGATCTTCATGTCCTTGATGTAGAATTATTATATTTACATTTAAATGATGCACCTCCTTCTATATACTTTATGTCATCTCTAAGAAACTCGTAACACCTAATACAATGTAAACGAGTCCTCTACCACAGAGCTTCAAAGACTGACCCTGGTTTGTCTTTTTAAAAGAAATCTCCTCCAATTGGCCTTTTGGAGCACCATTTGAAATCATGGAGGAGGCTGGGCCGGGGGGCACACACCTAGAATCCCAGTGACTCAGGAGGCTGAGGCAGGAGGATCACAAGTTCAAGGCCAGCCTCATCCACTTAGCAGGCCCCTAAGCAACTTAGCAAAACCCTATCTCAAAAYTGAAAATAAAAACGGGCTGGGAATGTGGCTCAGTGGTTAAGCACCCCTGGATTTAATCCTCAGTACCCAAATTAAAATTTTTTWAAAAAATYAAAAATAAAATTATTGAGGACATTTAAAATCTGAGCTTATTTMACATTTCCTGTTCCTAGATTGCTTCCACCTCCCTAGTGCAATGTGGTGTCCTCGAGCACACTGTTTTTCTTTCCTGTGTTAGATTATAAGTGAATGAGCACTCATTCGCTTATCATTTGATAAATGTTTGCTGAGTATAACCCTATCTTGTACGGTGCTCATCTTTGGGCACCCAAAAGTGACATCAAGTGGGCGCCATCTCGGAGTTCATGCCGCTGTAGCTAAATGGGGTCTCAGGATGAGTCCAGTCATCCCAGGAACAAACCACCCRACAACCTGAGGGGACGCGACATGAGAGGGCCATGCTGAGGCAGCCGTGAATGTCACGAGGCGAGACCTGGAAGGCCAAGTGGTCTACTATCCCTCTTCTGAAATCTAAGGAAAGCCATTCAGTGACTTAAAGATGGAGGAAGGTCACCGTAACCCTCCGGAAACTCGAGAAGACATGAAGACTCATTCTCCCCTGGCAGAGATCAAGTGTGCAGAGTTAGGGACACGGAGTGTGGGTGTCCCCATTCCTTGCTCCAGTGTGAGCCACCATATGTAAAGTGCTAGCCTGTGGTCAATATGCCCTACTGCCCCAGGGTCTGTAATTATCTGTAGACTTATGATCTTCTAACTTAACACATATCTTTTTTTTTTTTTTTTTTTGGTACCAGGGATTGAACCCAGGGGTACTTAACCACTGAGCCTCATCCCCAGCTCTTTTTTATATTTTATTTAGAGACAGCATCTTGCTGAGTTACGGAGGCTGGCTTTGAACTCACGATCCTCCGGCCCCAGCCTTCCAAACTTTTATTGGTGTATTTTGTTCATTATTAGCCTCGTTCCGTCCATTTGCAGGATGCAGGAGGGCAGCCCTTTGTATGTGGTCCATTACTCATGGATTGACTTCATCCTTAGGTATAATGCAGAATTCTTTTTTTTTTTTTTTTAATGGGCCTTGATGTCTGCCATGTAAGCATGAGAGCCCCTTTGTAAGCCATTTCCTTTTGAACTCAATGTCACTCGACCCCTGAGCCCCGTCCCCAGCCCTATTTTGTATTTGATTGAGAGACAGGGTCTCCCTGAGTGGCTTAGGGCCTCCCTTTGGCRGAGGCTGGCTTTGAACTCGTGATCCTCCTGCCTCAGCCTCCTGAGCTGCTGGGATGACMGGCGTGTGCCACCGCGCCCGACTCTCTTCTCTCAGTTTTAAGAACATCAGGCTACATGGTACTCTAGCTGGGACCTGGAATGTCCCCCATGTGTTGAAGGTTTGGTCCCCAACTTGGCTGGGAGGTGACGGAGCCTTTGTAAGAGGTGGGGCCTAGTGGGAGGTCTTTTGGTTGTTGGGGACATGTCCCCAAGGAATCTGTGGGACCTTGGCCTCTTCCCCTCTTTCTCTTTTCACTCCCTGACCATGCGGGGAGCAGGTTGGCTCAGCCTGTTGTCCCCACCATGGTGTGCTGCTTTCTCGGATGCTTGAAAGCCATGTGTCTGCCCAAGGGTGACCTTGAACCCCGAAGCCAAAATGAACCTTTTCTCTCTATAAGTTGATYCTGTCAGGTATTTGTGACAGTCATGGCACGCTGACTCACACACGCGGAACGYGACTACCAGGCTGTTTCCTTTGTGTGTTTTGACACCACAGATCCCAGCATCAACAGATACCACGTGCAGTGGTTTCCAGAGGTGTGTGCCCACAACAGAACGGCCGGATCGSAGACCTCATCTGCCGTGACCCACGTAAGGAGACGACTGTACTCATCGGCTCTGTGGAGTTTGGGGATGCATTTGGTTTGTGCATGTGACAGGTYGTATTTTGTATTTTATTGAGAGACGGGGTCTCCCTGAGTTGCTCAGGGCCTCACTTTGGCKGAGGCTGGCTTTGAGCTCRCGATCCTCCTGCCTCAGCCTCCCGAGGACTTATCATTCATCCTTCTGCCTCTCTTTCTCTTGTTCCAGGAAAATCACATCATCCTTCAGGACCTGTCCTTTTCCTGCAAATATAAGGTGAGCGTCCAACCTCTCCGGCCCAAGAGCCACTCGAAGGCAGAGACCATTCTCTTCTCGACCCCACCGTGCTCCGCCCTGAAGGGGAAAAGCCACAAGCACGTTAATTGTCCCGGTGACACAGGTAGGAAGAGCTTGTTGCCCGTCCAGGTCCCTGCTGGTCCGTGACCCTTTTGAGAATGTTCCTCCTTGCAGAGCGGCTGCCTGCGGTCGCTCTGAGTCTGTTTTTCTGCATGAGAAACACAGCCACCAGCCCCTTGGGGACRCTCTCCTGACCTCCTGGCTTTGCCTCCCACAGGTCCCGTTGGGTCCAAAGTCCTGGCCAAGCCAGAGAACCTTTCTGCCTCCTTCGTCGTCCAGGACGTCAACATCACTGGCCACTTTTCCTGGAAGATGACCAAGGCCCACCTCTACCAGCCCATGACCGGGTTCCAAGTGACGTGGGCCGAGGTCACCACGGAGAGCCGGCAGAACAGTCTTCCCAACAGCATCATCTCCCAGTCCCAGATCCTGCCCTCAGTAGGTGTCCCTCGGTCCCCAGACCCCCGATGTGGGTGTCCCAGGCTCGCTTCCCGTGGCCACTTGGAGTAGCTTCGGTGGGTTGTGCTGCCCGCCGTGACCTGGACTCCCGTTTCTGCACCTGTCCCCGAGCGCTAGATCTCGTTGTCACAAGGATCCCAAGAGTTAAGAACTGGCCGATGCTGCCGTCACCCACTCTTTGTTAGGGCCACCTTCCACAGGCCTTACCCCGCCTCTGTCTAAAGCAAACCCAGCCATTTCCCTCCGTCTTTGGTCACCCTGTGTCCCTCTGGTCCAAGTGGACAGGCCCTGTGTGAAGTGCTGAATTGGGGGAAAAAAATAGCTCAAAGAAGTTTGTTGTTTGTCTTTCCTTCCCCCCCGCCATTCAAATTTGGTGACAGCCCCTAATTAGCTGGACACTCTTCCAAGCCACTTAATTCCTTGGCTTGGGAAGAAAAAAAAAAAAAAATCATGTGCTGGCTTTTTKTTTTTTTTTTATTCTGTCTGAAAACCTTCTTAGAATATCCAAATCTTGCTCCAAAATTCAAAAGAAACAAAAAAACACCTTAACGATCCCGGAAGGAGAGGGTCCGTGGACACGGGAACGTCGCGATTTCATGAATGTCTGCGGTTGGACTCGGGTCCGGGCATTGGCGGGTGGATTGTGTGGTGGGGACACTCGTTGGCACCCTGGCCGACRTTTGGATCATGGAGAATTCACATCACAAGAGGAGCCGCCGAGAACTGGCCTCTGGGCACACTTGAACTCTGCCAAGGGTCTCTCTCGGCTGCCAGACATGGAGTCAGGGGCTAAGAAACCACAGAGAGARGTCCAGAAAATGAGGAGAAGCCTGGTCCAGACTGAGCTGTGGCTTGCACAAGCCAGCCATGGACATGCATGAGACCCTGGTCCCCACGGACTGTGTCCCCCCAGGTCACTGATGAGCCTCTGTCTCATGTCCCTCTGCAGGACCATCACGTGCTCACGGTGCCCAACCTGAGGCCATCCACCCTTTACCGGCTGGAAGTCCAAGTGCTGACCACCGGAGGAGAAGGGCCSGCCACCATCAAGACCTTCCGCACCCCAGGTCTGCCGCCCTCGGCTGCCCACAGTGAGTAGACTCCGGGGGGCCAGGCGCCCGGGGGCGGGCAAAGATGTTGGTGCACAGTGAGAACCAGGCCTCAGTGAGTATGCACGTCTGGGACGCAGGAATTGTCCTTATCTGGAACAAGWTGGTCCCCGCCTGATTCTCTTTACTGGATTTGCTGTAGTGAAAAGTGTGTGGCGGGTGCTGAGTGCGTTGCATGCCTCTTGATCCTGCCTGACTCCTTCTAGGTTCTTCCTTCCTTCCTTCCTCCCATTTTATTTTCTACATGATGCATTTTCCTTGTCTCCTCATCCACAAGGACACGTGGGAAAAAGCCTAGCGTTTCATATCACTTTGAAGTTTTTTTTAAGTTTAAAAATTTTAAAGATATTTCTGAGAATTTATCTTATTTTTATTATGGCTATTTTTGGGTACCAGGGATGGAATCTGGGGGRTGCTTCACCACGGAGCCACATCTCCAGCCCTTTTGAAGTTTTTTATTTAGAGATAGGGTCTCACCGAGKTGCTTAGGGCCTCACTAAGTTGCTAGGCTTGGGTTTGAACTTCCTCCTGAGCCGCGGGGAAGACRGGTGTGTGCCACCTCACCAGGCAAAACCAAGATTTTCATAGATTAAAGCACAAGAACTGATTTTTGCGAAGATGCTCATTTTTTATGAGAGATTTGACGATTGTATATGGCAGGAGTTTTCCTATGGTACACCCATGTATCTACTCTATTTAGAGTCAAATTAAGTAAAATTGATGAAAAATACGTTCACCTACTCTTCCCCAATGAATAGCCTCTTGATGATGTTTATATCATGGAGTTCATTAAAGTTTCATTGCTTAAATTCAAAAGCCAATTTTTAAAGATTTGTGGATGGAGAAGAAAATTGAGATCCATCTTTTTTTTTTTTTTTTTTTTGGAACTGGAGATTGAACCAGGAGCCGCTAAACCCCGGAGCCACTTGCGCAGCCCWTTCTATTTTTAATCTAGAGACAAGGGTCTCGCTAAGCTGCTTAGGGTCTCTCTAAGTTGCTGAGCCTGCCTTTGAACTTGAACTCTGATTTTTTCCAAACAGTGGRTGGCATTTGCCTCTACGACCTGGTTTGCTTTGTAGTTTGCAGAGAAACAAAAACTGTCTCCATGAGAGCGACTGCGAGCCCTTTCTTTGCATTTGTGACGCGGTTGAAGAACATGTTYCTCCAAAGCTCCTTTGAAATTCTGTCTACCAAAATCACTTGTTCCTTTTTAAAATGGTGTTTGGAGGAAATAATAAAGCAGATGATGATTTGCATGAAGGACTAGGAGCTTCTCTCTTGGTCATTTTTACGGTTTGGGGTGGGCACAAGGAAAGAGGAAGGGAAAATTGGGGCAAGACAGAGAAGAGAATGAGTGAAGGTGTGTCTGGGCCCTCRGGGTTGCAATAGGAAAGAGGCAGCGAGCGCTAGCTGCAGTCCACACGCATCCTGTCGAGTCCCTGGGTTTGCACTACTATTCACTATGTGTGGGGCAATGTGACTGAGAGGCTTTGTCACTTCTAGGACYCCACCTGAAACACCCTCACCTGCATCATTACAAGCCTTCTCCAGAAAGGTACTGAACTGCTCCAAGGCTTGGAGGGACCGGGGACAYGGCCACGTCCCCCTCCACCCGCCCCCAAAGAAGCGGCAGGTACTTCTGCGAGACCTTCCTCTCCCGGACAATTCTGTGCACCTCTGCTAGCCCCAGCTGCTCCTGGAACATCGCAGTCCRTCCCCAGGACGGACAAGAGATCCCTCCGAAAACCAGACCAGGTCCAGTCAACCCTGGATTTCAGTTTTGTCGACGGTTTTGCTCACCTCGATGGACGGTTTGCAGAATCGAGCTCTCCCTGAATTTGGAACAGTACAATATCCAAGCTGAGGACTGGGACCAGGACCCAGTTCACAGGCATATCCCACATACCTTGAATCCACCCATCAGACTTGATTAAATCATTGTTTTTGATTTACAAGCCTTTGGGCCTGACGTCTCCAGTCTTCCATAAGAGCCTTTTTTTTTTTTTTAATCATGGATGGGTGGTTTTTAACTCACAGACTTTGTAGTCTGAATTATACTCCTAAATTGGAATCTAAAAATGGTCCCGCATGAAGCATATCGGGTTTCTTTTTACACAAAGAATGCTGACGATCCAGTCTGTAACTTATTATTAACCAGACACCACAAAGCAGAGGGACTCAATGAATGAAGAGGCTTCCTAGATTTTTTTTTGCCTTGGAACTAATGAAAATTCTTTTTCGAGGACACTTTTAGCAGTTCGCCCAACGTGGGAGATTTTCCTGATGGGTTAACTTATTTATTTTGTTAGTGCAGAAAACAACCATTAATTTGCTTTGTTTCACTGTCAAGAAATTAAAAAAAGTCTTGCTTCAAATGAAAAGATCTGAACTCGTGAGCATTTTTGAAAGACCTTTACCGAGTTTGTGTCTTTTCTGAATCCAAGGGAGCTAATTTGCACGTGAGAATATTCTCCATGAAGTAAAAGATAAATAAATAAATAAGTCTTTGACGGATTAGAACAAAAGGATGATTATTTCCCTTTTACTAACCTTTACTTTTTTCAAATCGATTAAATCTTTTTGATTGGAAAATTCACTCGATTCCAGACCGTCCCCAAGTACAATGAGCTCAAGTCAAGAGAGACGTCATMAGGATCATGGCGGTGCAGAGTTTCGGGGGGCGGAGGGGGCGACCTAAAAGACAGGACTGTTTGAGTTGAGGGAACACGCACATACGTGGTTTAAAATATGCATAGATGTGCRTCTATGCAGCACCAGTGTGTGTGTGCTCATCTATGTCTGTACATATATCCATGGGGCGATGTACTCCTGTACGAAATTACCCAGGTACTTACCCCTACAGGAAAATAACCAGAGAGCATGCATTCGCTWTCCCCAACTAGGATGGATTCTGGGGTCATTACCACCATCTGAATTTCAATCTCTTAAAATTTCAAAAACACTGAAACCGTTGACGATTGGCCACGTGCATGTCTTTTACCTAAATCTGTCACAAAAGAAGGCAAAATATGTATGCCAGCAGAGTTTTGTACTTTTGTAGAGTTAAAAATGCAGGAGTATATGCATAGATACAAAATTATTATTAAATTATTATGTAAATTTAATGCTATAAAATTTAATCGTGTTTCTTTTGTCTGGGGAGAAGACCTTAAGCAAATATATGTTCAGTTCAGATGACGAATCTGAAACTGACATCATCCTTAAGAAATCCAAAACAGCTTTTATGAGTGTCTAATTTTGTTATGGTACTCAAAAATGTAAATTTTAATAGTGTTACTGGAARGAAAACACTATTAATGAAGTCGTAAAAGAAATATGCTTCTTTTTTTGAATTTTAGTAATCCCCAGTAATAATCAAATCATCAAACATCGTTAAGTTTCTTTTGAATTTTAGAAATGTGAGTGCCCTAATAAAAGTGACAAAAATCTGTTCGTTTTTTTTCCAAAATAAGAGACCATTTTAGTTCRTCATTTTTGAGTGTGTTTTATTGAAATTAGATGCATTGCTCTCCAATGAGAAAAGTAGATCCAATGATTAAAAAAATAGAGTTCATCAATAATATCCCCCCACCAGATACAGATGGTTAATTCGATATATGCAACAGCCATCTACATTATTTTCACTGATAAGATTCACTCCTTAGTGATGAATTTTTCTGTGCTCACATCTTTTTCTAAGTGGAATTTCATGGAAYGGATTTTTACAAACTACCATGTGTCCTTTAAATAGCTCGACACGGCATGGGACATACGAAAGAGAATAAAGTTTATGACAGCTATTTTTGAAATGTTTATCAAGTAATACTTTCAGATTAAAAACACACCCAAATCCTAGAAATTCCCTGCTCCCCRACACCCACGTGAACTGACTCAATCAGGATTTCTCAAATGTAGCACTTTTAAATTGAGCCTGCAGAGGTCTTTGCTGTAGGGAGCTATGCATGGCAGGGTGTTTACCCGTCCCCGGGGGCACGAGAAGACCCCAYTGAGAACTGGTGCTAGAGAGTGATGTTTACTGAAAAGATGAGAATTTGCCCTTGACAAGAAACCTAATCATTTGCAGGAGAAAAGCCCCAGGAGCTATGGGTTAGCCAAGAAATGAATAGACTCTAATTTTGTTCCTACATCCAGTGCAAAATGTAGTTTCCAGACTGAATTTCAGCTTGTGTCTGTATCATGCAAGAGCACAYGTTAATCTTGCCCAATGTATCAGCAAATGCCATGTACAATACTGACTTATTTATATCCTTTATTAYACTGGGTCCACCGTGTTTCAAATCCACACATCCCCCATAATTGCAAATAACTCTAAATCTTAATAAATGAAGATTTACACCATACCCAGAGCATCAAGGCTAAGCATCTGCATGTACCTGAAACTTCCTCTTGAAATGTAAAGGAATCCATGAAGATGTGCACTCTCACCTGTGATTTTGCATGACCACGGTCGGTTTCCTGTAAGGCTTGGACCCTCCTGACTTGTCTTACCTCTGCTGAATATTTTAGCAACTTATACAGTTTATAGAGTGATTAACTGAGTTCTCTATAAAGTTATCATTTTTTCCCTCTTCTTTAATTCTATCGTAGTTTGCAGACAACAGAGCTGTCACCCTCTCACCCAAACGGTCTGTAGAAGTCATGTGGCTCCTCGCGGTCATTGAAAGTCAGTATTTATTTATGTGTGTAATAAAAAAAACAGTCGGATTTCTGTGTATGTCTGTCGTGTTATTTAGAGAGAAGTAATCTTGTAAAAAACGTTTTGTAAAAAAATCAAGAAAGTATTGTACATAGCCTGATATTCCATGACACGCGTGATTTTCCCGTTAGAGTTTGTACATACTGATTCAGTAATAAAGCATCTTTAAACCCGTCTGGGGATTTGATCCATTCATTTCTTAAAGAAATCTCTCTCTCTCTCTCTCTCTCTCTCTCTCTCTCTCTCTCTCCTGCTCTTCTCTCTTGTCTTTAATTTAAGAAGAAAAATCACCAGTGTCCTATGAGAGTTTCAAAACATCTAAGTCTCCCCGAAAGTATGAATGGAATTTGGCGTCTGCTCAGTGTGAACAGGACAGAACTTCAGTTTAACGAGAATATTTTGGAGTTTGACAATCAACACTTCAGGGTCTTTTCATCGTATTGAAAATTGCAACTCCTAATCTGTAGTGAAACTGGAGTCTGCAGTTTTAAGTTGCTTTTCCCTGCCTGGATGTRTTGAGGATCTATGCGGTACTCGTAGCATCTATTCAAATGTCTCTTTTTACTACTCCATCAAATATGGAAGGCCTAAAATCTCCCCTACCTAAGTACAGCTTGACGAAGTTTGTAGCACCACCTGGAATTCAGGTTCGGAAGGCTACACAGGACAAGAATAGGTGTGGGGGAAGGATGCAGGATGGTCAATCCGGAGGAGCAGAAAGTACTTTGTGGTTGATGGAAATGTTTTGGAACCAGACAGAAGCCGTGATGGTAAACCATTGAAAATGTACGARACACCACTGAATTGTGCTTTTCATAAAGGTTCATTTCACATTGTGTGAAGCTCACCTCCGTTCAAAGTGATGTTAGTAATACCACCTAATTCCCCAGTGCCAACATGGGTGGAGGGCATCTTCGGTAYTAAATGTGCATTCTGTTTAGTAACTCGTCGATATTATAAGTATATTATAAGATTATAATATAAAATCACTATTTTATAAGATTATTATAAGTTGGAGAATGTTTACTGATTTGTGMTTGATGGACCTTGTTGATAAAGGAAAAGTAGATTTAGGGGTGACAGAACWGAAATTTGAAAATAGGAATTGGGACACAGGGTAGGTACCCATTTCTTCTCTACCTTGAACTTTTTTTTTTCTTTTTTATTTTTGSTACTGAGCATTGAACTCACAGGTGCTTTACCACTGAGCCACATCCTCAGCCCATTTTTGCTTTTTTTAAAATTTTGAGACAAAGTCTCACTAAGTGGCTTATGTCCTCACTAAGCTGCTGAGGCTGGCCTCAAACTTGTGAGCCTCCTTCCTCAGCCTCTGGATTTGCTGGGATTATAGGCATGKGCCACCAMGCCTGGCTGAATCATGAGATTATTCCTCTCACCCCTCATCGAGTTTCCAGTAATGTGATTTCTTCCAAAATTATAGCACAATAGCACAACCAGGAAATTGATGCTGATACGCACCACATATCATACGCACGCAGGCTAAGGTGTACATGTGGGGTTTTGTGTGTATTTAATTCTTTGCAAGTTTTATCACATGTGTACAAGCCAATGTGTTTTAAGCAGATGAACATCTAAAACACATGCAATTCCCTAAGTAAATTAGCTYGAGGAAATATTTCCTTTTTTCACGTTCCTCTAAAGCAGAATGTAATTTACTTTATATGAATTTTAACTTTAACACGGTAGAAACGATCAACTCAAAGCGTATCTGATTTTATCTTGAATTTCCATCAATGGATTGTTTTAAAAAATGGCTAAGTACTTAACAAGTCTGTCTAGAAAAAAAAATCTATGCATCCAATGAAACTAAATTTATGGGCAAGTAAAACGTATAGATTTGAAAAAAAAAAATCATTTCCCTGAGAGGAATTGGGTTGCACATTTATGGTCTAGAGTGGATCTGAAGAAATAAAAGGACATTGAAATTCATTATTGTTTAGAAAACTAAACATCGCCTAGAGTAGGAAACAGAAGCAAGTTTCAGATTCACGCAAGGCTTAAAGGTTGAGTTTGGAACAATGGGCTCTGATGATTAGCCTGACCCKCTGCCTACGAGAACCCTCAAGGGGGTTTTTAAGGAGACCCGTGTCCTCCGGCACCTTCAGGTCAGGAGTGAACCRTGCACATCAATGCCATTTTAAAATGTCCCCGGATGATTCTCATATGTGCCCAGAGCTGCAGACCACTCCTCAGACCTTGAGGAGGTACAGAATGACCAGTGTT